TTCATTACCCATTCAAGCCATCTCCAGCCATTATTAGTCTCAAAGTGGGTTCCTCGTCATCGATTCCACATCTTTTTGTTTTGCCATATAGGTCTCAATTTTGTCCTTCATGCCTTGTCCAATTCTCCATTTGAACCTATTGCTATGAGTTCGTTGTACCATTTTACCTCCTCCTCCTTGCTTGTGGTTGACATCATTCTGATATTTATGCCATGGATGTTTTCCGCATCTTTTCCCATTCTTCTTATGTTATCTTCTATCCTGATTGGGCATTCCTTCCCTAAACATCTGCTGCCTGATCAGGTGGTTTGGCCATCTCACCTCTTTCCTTACTTTCCATTTCCCACCTATACTCCCATCCAGTTCCTGATAGACTTCTTTGTCCAGCTCGTTCCCTAAGATGTTACTTGGCTTGTACTGCCTCCTTTGATATTATCATTCCCATCTGTGTGTTTCAAGGATTCCCTCTGTGTCCCATGATCTGTCCCCTATTGCATTCATTGGTTGGGTTCATCAACTCATATGACTGGTGTATTCTGTCTTGTTCATGAAAAGTCACCATCTGCCCAGTTTTTCTTCTCACCCAATTTGTTGTCTAACTATGTCTTTAGCTGCTCATCTTCACCAGCCTTTGGAGGAGATCATTCAGGCTGGGATGTGGACAACTCCCAATACATTCTTCACACATTATCTGCAAAACCTGGCTGTGTCTTCCTCAGGTAGGTGTCATCTTCCTTTTGTGGTGATTCTACACGTGTATTTGTCTTTGATTGGGGTAAGTTGACATATTACTTTTTCTATATACTTTTAGTTGATTCATATCATATTTCAGGATCCCACCTGGTCAGGTATGCTTCATATTATATTTTCACTAGATATGATTAATTCTATAATGCTCACTATTTAGATGAAGTGTTTCTGTAAGACCACTGGCAACTGGTTCATTGGTATGTGTATCTATATTTTTTGATTAAACATTTCTAGTTTCATTTATAAAGGACCATTACTCATGGACTTCATGAGTAAAGTAGATGGAGATTTCTGCCCATCCCTACTGAAATATGATTCCTACATTTGGTGTCTTTCTGCTTTTCAAAATAGGAAATTGCAGACACCCATTGCACTGTCTCTCGTGTGATGTTCCTCTGGACTCCCCAATGCATATTCCTCTCTTTTCTTCTATTGGAGCATTGGAGCCCTTACCACTTTTGGTTCCTAGCTGCTGGAGTGGTAGACCATGGAGGTTTCTTCCTGAGTGGGTTTTGAAAAACGAAAAAGAGCTTCCTAGCCCATGTGTACCCACTTGGCTAGAAGAGGAATATAGTTGTTATAATCATTACAGTACCGAACAATGAATTATACAATAATATTCAGTATCCAAGGTGCTTCCCTAGAATGTTTTTGCTTGGGCAGACCACACATGTTGATCATATATTTCTTTTGCAAAGTGCTTCCACCGGATATTTTTTGCCCAGATGGACCACACTTGGCATAATTCAACATAACCCAAGGTGTTTCCTCTGGTTGTTTTTGCACGGGCAGACCGCACTTGGCCTAATCCTATGTATCCAAGGCACTTCTCCTGGATGTTTTTT